GGAGGGAGGCAGGAGGAGGGAGGCAGGGAAGGGAGGCAGGAGGAGGGAGGTGTGGAGGAGCCGTCCCTGCAGAACAAGAGCAGTCACAGAAGCCTGGAACACCTGGTGCCCTGGCAGCATGAGAGCCAAGACCAGGAGTGACCGTCACCGTGAGACCTGGCTGAGCCTTGCCTCTGGGCTCCAGCAGAGTCAGGGCTTAAGACAAAATCGCCCCTCTCAGCCCTGCCAGGAGGGAGGAAGGAGAGCCAGCTGCCCGCAGCCTGCACCTGGAGCAGGAGGAGAGGAGGCTCAGCTGTAGGCCACCCAAGAATCTACAGGTGACAGAAAGGAGAGCTGTGCRCTGTCTCCCTGGGACCTCGGGGTTTAACATGGTGCAGGGAGAAAGCCTCGGGCTTCAGACAGAGTCCTCAGAAGAACAAGGTCCTGGCGGGAGACCTGACCAGGAGGGTGAAGGCACCTTTGGAAATGCAGGAGGGGACCAGGGGGCTGCACGGTGGCAGAACCGCAGGCCAGCCCTCCTCCAGGAGGCAGCCCGGGGAGGGGGAGCCACGGTGGGCACACACGTGTGGGTGTGTACAAGTGTGTYTGTGGGAGTCTTTGTGCCGTGTTAGGTGTCTGTGTGTTTATGTGGGCATATTTGTATTTGCATATGTTTCTGTGAAGTGTGTGTGTTGTATGTGCTTATTTGCTGTGTGTGTGCCTATGTATGTTTGTGTGTGTGCGTGTGGTATGTTTGTGTATGCCTGTGTGTGCTGTGCTTGTGTGTGCAGGTGGCGTGTGTGTGTTTATGTGTGCAGGTGGCGTGTGTGCTGAGTTTGTGTGTGCATGTTTATGTGTCTGCGTGTGTTGGGTTTGTGTACATTTGTGTGTGCATCTGTTGGACTGCATGTGTGTGTGTGTGTGTGTGTGTGTGCGTGCTTCTGTGTGCCCAGGAACTGTGCAAGGCAGTGAACATGAGCAAAGGGCTCAGGCTGGACCTGACTTCCTCCAAGGTGCCCCGGGCCCCGTCCCTCACACTCTCTGCATGTTTGTCACTAGGGTGTCCCTTTGGTAGACAGCTCTAGCCTGTGGCAGGTGACCTGCCAGGCAGGCCGTGTGGTCCTGCAGCCCCTCTGGCCCTGCACGGGGCAGTTGCTGACTGCCTGCTCAAGGCCGAGGGTCTCCCCCCACAGGTGAGGTCTCTGGTGGACCCAGGTGCAGGGCCACACACGGGGGTCTTCTCAGCCTGGGCCTCCTGTGGGATCCAGCACCCGCTCCTGCTCAGCTGGTCCTGCCGGACCCCTCCACCAGCCTTTCCCAAGGACAGAGCCGGCCTCACAGGCGCCCTGGGCGGGCATGATCACGGGCCGCCATTCCTTATTTTAACGCAGACATCACTTTAAACCAACCTTTCGCCATCTGTTCTGTCCTTTAATAACAAATGCAAAAGAGGGCGATTCTCGGTGGCGCCATAAAGCCGGAGTGTGGTGGGAACGCCGGCTGCGCTCCTCCTTCCTGGCCCCGGCACACTGCTGTGATGTTCTTCTCACTGTCCAGACACAAACCAAGGGGAAACCCGCTCTCCCCGATCCCGCGAATCATCACCGTGTTTCTTCCTCGCGTGGAAAACCGCGGGAGAGTGCTGGGCCCTTGAGAGCCCTTGCCAAGACCCGGGCAGACGCCGGCCCACCGTGCCCACAAGGCAGCACCGAGCGGCCCTGAAGAACTCAGCAAATGCGGCCCAGTGGTCAGAACATGATGAGATTTCTGTGCGAAACAGTCATCTTTAAGTTGTGGCAGGTCCTTTTCAGCAGTCGTGTAATTAAATTTCCCGTGAAAGGCGGGGCTCCGCGAGCAGCGCCGTCTTCCCGGCTGGTGGCCTCCTGCGCACCCTGCCTGCCTCCGAGGTTCCCCTGGCTCCGCGTGTCCCTGGGGTCCAGGGTGACCTGGCGGCAGCACTCGAGGCCCTTTGTGCCCTCATCCTAACCCAGTCACACACACCAGCCCACAGGCCCCGCCTGGGGGTCACAGCCTCCTGCTCCCCTCTCCCACCACAGAGGGACAGTCGGGCACAGGCGAGACTCACCCTGTGTGGCCTGGTGGCCTAAGCTTTGTGCAACTCCCTAGGGCCTCGCCCACAGAGGACATGGGGAGAACACCCCGCCTCGGCCGGGCTGGCTCTGAAGGGACACTACCCTTGGCCTCCTGCAGAGGAGGGGTCAATTCAGACCCAGCTGGAGCCTCTGCCTGTGCTGCCCAGGGCAGTGGGCACGAAGCCCAGGTGGTGTTTGCACACYGGAGGGCAAATGCCACTCACAGCACACACACAGCCCCCATGTCCCGCCCGCCTCCTCGCGGACTCACGTGACCTGCATCAGAACCGCCTCCTTTCACTCCCAGGTGGAGGATTCTGCCTCCTGTCACCATGGCTGGTGCCCTCCAGGCTGATGGGGGGTGGCAGGTGGCAGGGGCACCTCTACCATAGTGGGGGGCTCTGGTACAGCTGCAGGGAGAGCTGGTCCTGCAGGGTCTGCCTCTGAAGAGCGGGGGCTTCCTGGGGTGTGGCTTGCAGTGTGGGGAACACCTACAACAGGAAAGAGTGGTCATCACGGACCTCTGCAGCCTCCGCCGCGGCCCTTGCCTGTCTCCCACTGCAGAGGTGCATCTGGGACAGACCTGCTCCCGGGAGGTGAGGGGCCCCTCCCACCACACCTGGGGTTGGCCTGCAGCCGGGCTCACGCCCCAGAGGGACAGCACGTCCTGGCTCACAGGCTCTGTGACACCCAGAGGGCTGCCTCTCTCCCTGCTCTGGAAAAGCTGCTGCCCCGCAGGCTGGAGCCTCCTGCCGACACGGGGTCTGTCGCCCCCTTCACTGCTCCAGTCTATTTCTATTGTCTCAAAACACGTCAATGTCATCAAGATCCTCAGTTGTGCCTGTGTGACATATAAAAAACAGGATGTTAAAAAGTCTCTTTTTTTTCCTCTTAAATGTACCAAAGGTGCCCGGCTTGATGACTCTCACCTGTGATCCTAGTGACTTGGGAGGCTAAGGCAGGAGGATCCTCAGTTTGAAGCCAGCCTCACAACTTGTTAGGCCCTAAGCAACTTCGCCAGGCCTTGTCTCAAAATAAAAGGCTGGGTGGAGGCAGAGTGGTTAAGCACCTCTAAGTTCAGCCCCTGGTACCAGATAAAGTTGCAAATGTGCGTTAGTTTCCTGAGAAGCCCGAGGCTGGCTCCTGGCCTGCTGCTCTTCAGGCCTAGACACCACGGTCCCCGCCATCAGGGGGCTCCGGCATCCGCCCCAGGTCCCTTCCTCCTGCTGCCAGCTGCTCCCTTCCTTCTCCCGCCCTAGTTCTCTTCTGAGTGTGGGTGTGTTGGGGCGCGCGTTTGCTGGACGCGGTCTTGGGCTCTCACCCTGCGAGAGTCTCCTAGTTACRTTACTGAGCTTCAAGGGTATCTTTAAACAGCACTTGTGACTACTGCTTGACCTAGTGGCTATTTCAGAACAAAAGTTCTTCTTTTTTAAGTTTCACCACTAAATTTTCATTTTAATGCTTCAGCCAAAGGTCATGGTCAATTTTGAGGAACATTCCAAGATTGTCCCTAAGGTCCATTTGGTCGCAGAGCACTGTCGTGGTCCCCTGAGCCTTTCCAAAGGTGTCACCAAACTCGAACACAAGCCCCCTGGACCTCGGCTTTCAGAGCCCAAGCCAGGCACCTCCCTTGGCGGTGCTGCGCTCTTGCCCAGGGCTGGCGCCATGTCCCCGCGTCCCTCGGCCCTCACAGACATTTGCTGTCACTGGTGAGAGACCCACAACTCTTAATTCTGCATTGTCCTTTCTGCTTCCCCAAGGTCTCTGTCCGCCCAACGATCTGGTCACACATAAAACAGCCGCCCCCCGTGCAGACGCAGGCCCTGGCCCGGCCCCAGCGCTCTCCTCCCCATCTCACCTTGGTGCTGGGGCCAGGCCCCACTGGGCTGTTTTCAACACGACGACGCAGCTTCTCCGAGGAAGGTTTTGTGCTGACTTAGCTCTGTGCTCACAGTGACAAGGGCTGTCAGCACTCAGTTCCTGGCCACCACCTTCTGCCACCCCTCTGTGACCAAGGTCCTACTGTGAGGCACTCCCAGGACCCTCTCCCAGGGCCTCRGGCTCTCCCCAGGCCTCCGCCTGTTCCGTGTCCGGCCTGGTCTCCTTGGGGCGTTGGAATCAACCTGAGGAGTGGCTCTCCACCAGGCGTCCCACGCTCCCTGTCCAGACGCTGTGCCCTCCCATTCCCTGACTGGCCATGGGACACGCTAACCACTGAGTGTCCTTCCTGTCCCCAGAGCAGATGGAAAATCAGCCGCAGTCCCCGGTGTATCTTAAAATTCATCAAGTCACTCTGGTAGGGTGGCTGGGAAGCCCGGTCCCCACCATAGGCTGACCCTTCCTGTGTCCTCCCCCTCAGATCCGGTCTGACAAAGACAACGACATTCCCATTCGGTACAGCATCACGGGCGTGGGCGCCGACCAGCCGCCCATGGAGGTCTTCAGCATCGACTCCATGTCCGGACGCATGTACGTCACGAGGCCCATGGACCGGGAGGAGCGAGCCTCTTACCACGTGAGTGTCCGGGAGGGGGTGGTCAGCGTCGCACTCACAGCACTTGAGAGCCGCCCTCCAGCTCACTGGACCCAGACAGCAGCTTCCGAACTTCCAACTCTGCCTCCCATCTACCCACTTCAGCTCTCCCGTCTCTTCATTTACACACACAYACACAGCTACCTGTCCACTCGCCCATCCACCCATCTGTCTAAATATCCATGTATATACCACCCATCCACYCCTCCGCCAAACGTYCATCCACCCGTCCATCCCCCACCACCCATCCCCCATCCATCCACCCATCCCCCACCATCCATGCCCCATCCACCCGTCCATGCCCCATCCACCCACCAATCCACCCATTCAGGTCTCATTTCTCAAGCGCTGACCCTGTGCCTGCCCTGGGTCAGGTCCTGTGCTGGCCCTGGGTCAGGTGCCGGGCATGGAGACATGAACAGCGTAGATGTGGTCCCGCTGTGGGGAGCTTACTTAGGCTGAGATGAAGAGGCCCCGAATCCTTCTTGGCCCAGAGTCCCCAGGCGGAACTCTGCACCTGCCCCAGGAGGCACATGGTCTGGATTCTGCCTCTCGTCAGGGACAGGAGGTGAAGGGGAAAGACAGTCCTGGGAATCCAGGGCATCTGCAGGAAAGCCACCTGTTCCTTTGGAACAAGAGGGAAGGCTCTGCTCACTGCTGAGGCCCAGGGCCCCTCTATGAAGTCACCCGGAGAAGAGGAGCGCCAATCCCCTGACCGTTCTCAACACCACACGCCCCATGGACATGCTCAGGAGGACGCAGCCCATGCTCCAGYCCCGGCCATCCTCCCCTGCTGCCCTCCACCCCCACATGCACACAGGCCCCCAGCATGCACTCAGGGTCGGTGCCAGGCTAGAGGGTGTCCCACCAGGCGTGGGGGCCTATGACCTTCACTGAGTGGGGAGAAAGCGGGCCCCCACCCCCAGTGAGCAGGCCTGCAGGTCCCTGCACAGCCCCACCACCCACAGTGGCTCAGCCCTCTGCCTGCCCGCCATCTCTCCCCGGCTGGTGGTCACCTCCGAAGCCTGGTCACAGCACGTTGTCCCACACAGGACAATGAAGAGGTCACTCTGACTCAGTTCACCTTTTCCAGGATTAGCAGGTTGATTTTAGTCACTAGGGTCTCTAAGAAGGTCCAGCCAAGAGAGTCCCCAACTTCCTCTTCTCCCGGAGGCCTTGACCCCAGGCCTCCGCCGCGGCCCTTTGCTTTCTCCCTGAAATGTGGTTCTTGTCAGTCACGTGTCTCCAAAACTGCTTCAGTTGCTCTGGGAGGTGGTAGCCCTTGGCAGGGCCCTGGTGAGGCCGGTGTTCCTGCTACAGACGGCCTGCTGCAGCCTGGGCTCTTCTCAGCCTGCCCTCCACATCCCGAGAAATCTCCACTGAAAGGAAGCCTCCCCACCAGGCGAGGCCAGCCTCGGAACCTCCAGCCTCTCCTGGTGTGGCCTCAGTGGTGAGCAGGGAGGGACCCTACTCTGCTCCTCCTGTGTCCAGGACAGCTACAGAATTCCATGTCCTGGCGCAAAGCGGAAGGCAGGGCCCCTGGTCCAGAACCCATTGAGAATCTCAGGGGGTGGGATCAGAGCGTGTGCCGAGCCTCCCACAGGGCCCTTTGAGCAGGAGARTTGTGTGGCCTCAGGTCTTGGGCGTGACGCTGGCTCTGCAAGCCCATACTCATTCAGGTGGCATCAGGATGGTGTCCCCTCACGGAGCAGGGCCTGAGAAGCTGCAGGCCCCTGCTCCTGGCGGGAGAGGAAAGGGGCCAGGCTCCAGGGCRCTCCACGGGCCACTCTGGGTCAAGAGCAGTCTGGAGCCATCCCTTGTGCCCCTCCYCCACCAAGGGCACCTAGGACCCTATTTTCAGTAGAGTGGACCTCCTGGAAGTCGACTGGTCCCAAGGGACAAGGGTGACTGACGGAGTCTGTGACCCCTGAGGGTCTCCTGCTCCCTTGGCCTGTCCGGAGGCCTACATGGCCTGGCACAGCTCGACGCGCACAGAGAGCGCCTCCGCACCCCCCTGGGCCAGGCTGGAGGAGACCTGGCCTTGGTGGCCTGGAGACCTGGRCGCACCATGGGAAGCCTTCTCCTGCTGGGCATGGCGCGGGTGGGCTGCCCGTGGCCCCCGGGGCAGCAGCTAAAGTGACCAAGTGGCGTTCCAAGATTTCCAAGATKATGCAGAGCTGGCCTGGCGTGTGCCAGCCCCCCTGTCAGGGCGGCCTGCAGGCTCCGGGGACGCGTCCCTGACACGTCTCCTAGGACGCACGCCTGCTCCTGGTGAAGCCAGGCTCTGGACTCCCCTGGAACACACAGTTCCGAGGTGAAACCCACTCCTGGCTCTCGGAACCCCGACCAAACGCAGACGCCCACCCGTCCCCGTCAGCTGTGGCGCTTCCCTTCWCAGGCAGGGGACACACCTCCTCCTGGTCCCGGGGTCTGGGGAGGCCCCCACGGGCACTGCTGTGCTTCTCTGTCCAGTCTCTGTCCTGTTGTGGGGGTGACTCGCTCTCAGCAGAGACGTGAGTCGCGTCACCACAGTGTGGCCATCGTGGCTCTGGTGTGGAGATGGATGGGCTGACCCCTTCTGCTGCCCAAGTGTTGGTGCTCCCCTAAAATCCCAGGTCCAAGACACTAGGTCCAGCCACATCTTTTGTTCCTGAATAATCTAAGGTCCAGCCAGGGCCAGGAATTCACTGAGCCAGTGAATGAACAGGTCCAAACCTCGGGGCGTGGGTCTGAGCAGCCCCGGAGTCCAGGTGACCTCCCTTTCTTCCTCCAAGACAGTTCCCRCAGAAGCCCCCTGGGGCGTCTCCCCGGCAGGGCACCTTCCCAGCCAGCCCTCCCCGGGCCTGCTCTGGCCTCCCACTTCTGTGCTGGCCAGGCCCTAGAACCGACCCGAAAGCAGGAGCAGACGGGGTGAGCCGTSGAGGCTGACCTACAGTGGACGCCCAAACCAGCCTCACTCACCTCGCTGGGTCTCTGTCCCGTGCCTCTCCTGAGCCTCCGCCCAGGGCCGACTCCCAGGAACAGGCATTAAGCCCCTTACTCTATTGTGCATAAATGGCCTTCTGAGGCCACTGTGGGGACATAACTCCCACTAAGGGGTCCCTACCTACCCCCAGGCATCTGGGGACAGTCAAGAAGAGCAGGAGGCCCTGGAAGTCTCTGAGACTCCGGCCGCAGCCGGCTCCTGCTCTGGCCCACATTTGCACAGAGGTGAGAACTGAGAGTCAGGGGAGTTGCTGGATGTACCAAAGCCCTCCGTCCCCTGCCCAGCTGCCTCTGCTGTCATGCCTCCCTAGTGCGGCCGTCCCCAGGGAACCGCCTCAGGCGGGGCCAGGGGTACCCTGGGGGTGGCTGAGGCTCTGACATGTCTGTTGCCCCCAGCTCCGGGCCCACGCTGTGGACATGAACGGCAACAAGGTGGAGAACCCCATCGACCTGTACATCTACGTCATCGACATGAATGACAACCGYCCCGAGTTCCTGAACCAGGTCTACAACGGCTCCGTGGACGAGGGCTCCAAGCCAGGTGGGCCGCCGCTCGGACACAGCCRCCGGCACGGGACCCTCGGGCTCTGCCGGGCAGGGGCGGGTCTTCAGGGCCTCCCTCTGTGTGGGTGCCACGGTCTCACCCACTGACAGGGCRCACCAGACGGGCTCACAGCCCTCACGGGCCTCAAGGTGCAGCGGGGTGCAGACCAAGGGGTGACAGCACCGTGAATCACAGTGACGTGGGCGTGGGAGGAAACCAGGCGTAGAGTCATGGGGACACTATCAACAGGGAAGGCCCCTCTTCAGGGTTCCTGTGGGCTGGGGACTGGACCTGGGGAGGAGCAGCACCCAGCAGGGGTCTGAGGTCAGCTGTGGTGAGCCGGGGAGGGGGAGCTCCTGCCSGGCCCTGGGCAGGAAAGGAGCCGGAGGCCAAGACCTGCCATCCGAGGTCTCTGGGCTCCACTTCGGGTTTGGCTCCACACACAATAGGAAACAGCCCAGGCTCCCCAGCTCCAGGAGGGGCCCATGTGCAGGGCCCTGTGTCCCCTCAGAGCTGACCCAAGGGCCTGTCCCTCCTCAGGCTCCCCTGTAGCACAGCTGATGGCGACGGCTTGGTCATGTGCCACAGGCCCTTTCTAAGCAGGTGTCCCTGTGACTACCAGGAAGTGGGCGTCCCCTCCCCGTCCACAGTGTGGAGCCTCACGGCCAGCGGCCAGCGGGGTGGAGCATAGGGAAGCGCTCAGCAGCTGGTGGCCCACAGGAGGCAGCGGCCCCAGGGAACTCGCTGGAGGTGGTCTCAGCCAGTCCACCTGCTGGTTCAGACCTGCAGCAGGCGCGCTGGCCGGGGGTTAGCAACACCCCACTCTGTGGGGAAAGACCAGCCCCACTCTGCTGCCTCCGGGCGCGGGGTCCTCCCTGAGAACAGCACTGCCCGCTTGTGTGGGCAGGGCCGATGAGGTCACTAAGAAGGCCTCTGGGGGGCTGCTGGAGGTGGCCACCGAAGCACGGGGCTCCCAGGACAACTGGAAACACGGGGACACGGCCACACGAGCTGTCCAAGCAGCTCSGGGACAGACCTACATTTGGAAGGTTCCCCGTGGAGCTGAACTTGGGGTCTCACTGGTGTCCTGCTCTCCACAGGCCCACAGGCAGGTCGGCTCTGGGCTCTGCRGAAGCCTGAGGCACGCGGAGGCCACTTCTGCAATGGCCTCCAGGGCGCGCAGAGCCGGGCGGGGCCAGCTTCAGAAGCCACCTGCTCAGCTGGGCCCCAGGGAGGACCCGTGGTGTCGCTGGGGCAGGAAGGTCTCTGTCCCGGGGGCCACTGTGTCAACAGGAATCGCATTCTCCATCGATTGTCTTGGGGACCGTGAGGGCGGTGAGCCCGGTGTCCCCGAGGGAGGGAACGGCTGTGCCACTGTCTCTGCAGCCTCCTGGCGCCTGGCAGTCCCTAGAGAGGCAGGGACAGGCGATGGGTGAGCAGATCATCTACAGGCCGCACAGGAGGCCACGAGGGCAGCAGGCGCGGCTCTGGAGGGTGGGCGCGGCTCTGGAGGGTGGGCGCAGCTGGGTGCGCTCCTGTGGGGGAGGCCAGGCCCCGGCCCAGGCCTGTTGAAAGGCAGCGGGATTCTCCGGGCCCTTCTATCCCAAATCAGATTTTCCACATCTTACTTCAAAACAAGTCAATAGCGAAAGTCTTCCCAACCTGTGGCTGGCTTTGCCCGTGAGGGTTACAAACGCAGCGATTCCCTCGCCTCCTGAAGAGCCCCGCAGCCGTTAAGCCTGGGGACCCGGGCTGTCAGGCTGGCCTTGTGAGGGCTGGCCCTGCCGGGGCCCTGGTCCCTGYGCTGCGCCTCCTCCCCCACCGGAGCCTTCCAGGACTGTGCGTCAGTGCCCCTGTCACAGCCCCAGGGACACAGTCCGGCTCCGTGCTGGAAGGACCCRTTTGGTGCCCAGTCTGGCCGCCCTGAGCCAGCCCTCTCCTCCATCATCCCATCGAGGGCAAGGACCAGGCGTCCAAAAGAGCAGCCTTCCCCGAGGGTCCCCGGGGCCTGGACACGGCCTCAGCAGTTCCTCTTGTGCCTCGGTGATGGGGAGCTCATGGCGTCGTGGGGCCAGGAGTCAGCCACCTGCTCTGGAGGCGAGACCAAGGAAGGGCTTCAGGGGCCCATGGAAAGGAGYGGAGGGAAGACTCAACACTGACAGGCTGAGGGGGCTGCGTTCACCAGGGACAGCAGTGACAGCCTGGGCCCAGGGCCACCAGGAGCCCGCATCACCTCCCTTCCCAGCCTGGCCCCTCACTGCGTGACGCCTCTGTGACACCGCTGGCCYGCTCCTGCGGGCAGGGGGCCTGGCGCTCAGGCCCACCCTCTTCAGCGAGCAGCACTCACTGTGGCTCGGGTCACAACCCTTAGATCTCCCGGGAGGGAGGCAGAGGGCAGAGCCACCTCAGGGCCCCGTGGGATGGCCACGCTTTGGCCCTCGTGGATGGAGTCCAGAGGTGGTGGCAGCTGCAGGGCGGGCGGTTCCCACGGCGGAGACGGAACTTTCCAGACTGTTGCTCACCAGTCCTTGGCCCTCTCCTCGGCGCTGGTGGGTCACTCTCAGGGAAGTCTTCCAGGGCCACACTGGCCTCCCCGCCACAGGCCCCAGAGAGGGTGCCCTCTCCCCCCAGGTCCCACCCAAGTCSGGGAAGGTCCCCTGGGTCTGTGCCAACCCTGCTGAGCCCTGGGCACAGGAAGAGCACGTCCTCCCTCTGTGTGCCCCACGCCACACCCTCACTGCCCTGCGCTTCCTGCCTGCTCCAAACCAACCCCACGAGCTCAGAGTAAAGAGGGACAGTGCCTGGGGACATGGACTGACCTGGGATCCAGATGCCTTCCAGGGAAACAAGTGCCGGAATCCAAGTCCCCCAGGAGGGGCCCAAATCAGGGCTCCCAGGAGAAGGGTCCAGCTGGAGAGGCACAGGAGGGCCTGCAGGAGGGGTGCCAGGGGCCTGGTCTGAGGGTCTCGGGCAGGAGCCCGTGGCCAGGGCTTGGGTCCCTCCCACCACCCCGAGCACCCACCTTCATCAGGTCCACGGTGGGAGACTTTCACTGGAAAAGTATAGAGTCGCCTGCAGCTCCCAAAACAGTACAGCCAGGCCCCTGGGCCTCCCCCACCCCGGGGGGTGCTGCAGGGCTGTGACCCCGGCCACACCCAGGAGTCGGCACCGCCCCGCCTCTGTCGGCCTGCCAGCGTCACCTGCGCAGTCTGTCACACGGGSCGCTGCAGGAACCACCATCAAGACACAGGAGGGCCCATCGGGGACCCGCCTGCCACCCTCTGTAGCCACACAGGCCTCTTCCCCTGCGCTCCCTCAGCCCCGCCACCCCCAATCTGCACTTGACCTCTGTGGCTTGTTTCAAGAGCGCTGAATAGATGGGGTCGTAACAGTGACCGCTGGGGACTGGCTCTCCCAGCTGTCCTCTGGGGGCTCATCCAGGTGCTGTCTGTCCGTAGCTCCGTCCTTTCACGGCAGAGCGAAGGCTGTGGTTGCAGACCTCCCTCAGTTCGCCATCCACCAACCGGAGGGCGCTGGGTTCCTTTCCAGTTCGGGCTCTTAAAAAAAAAAAAAAAGAGGCTGGCGGGTGGGGTGGGCACRGGGGCACAGGGCTGGCCTGGCCTGCACGAGGCCCCGAGCCCGATCCTCAAGACCAAAACACAAAGTGAGGAAAGATAAGTAAACAGAGCTGCTGAGAGCACCCCATACCCAGGGCCCGGAGGGTCGGCACCAGGGCCCGGAGGGGCAGGCACCGTGGCCTGGCAGGGGACGGCACAGTGGCCTGGCGTGGGACGGCTCCAGCGCGTCTCCACTTCTCGGCAGCAAAGGCCCCGAGGCCGTTCCTGCTCCCCCGTGCCTCCGTGGGCTTCCCACGGTGACCGATCCTTAAGGGCCGGAGAACTCTGCCTTTGCTCTGTTTCAGGGCTGGGTCCTTGGTCGCCTGGCCTGTTTCTCTGGGGGCTGTGCCGAGGTGGAGCATGGTGGCAGGAGCACGTGGAGGGAAGCTGCCCACCCGTGGGGCAGGTGAGGAGCAGTGGGGGGCCACACTCCTTCCAGGGCTCGCCCCAACGGCCTCACTTCCCCCACCGGGCTGGGCCTCCACCACCCCCAGGAGCACCCAGCTGGGATCAGGCCTTCAGCACATGGGCCTCRGGGCCGCTCCAGACGGGGTGCTGGGCTGAGAAAGGCCCCAGGCCCCCGGGCAGGGCTGCGTCTGTGGGGGCCCGGCCCTCTGCAGCCCAGCCGGCGTTGGGTGGTCGCTGCTGTGCTGGCGTGTGGTGATCGGTCACYGCGGCTCGAGACATCTCCCTCACCTCGAACCCTGCAGCACAGCCTGCCTGTGTCCTCCCATCTGTCCCCTGCACTGGACCCGCTCCTGTCGTCTGTCCCCCTCCTGTTTGGAGCAGTGGCTTTGAGCTCCTCCGTGCCTGCTGAAGACACACCCTTCGCAGCCTGGAGTCTGCAGSTGTTTCCTCCCCCACCCGGCCCCCGGACTGGCTTCCCACCCTCCTCACCGTCTCTTGCAAGCAGAGGTCCGTACACTTGATGAAGTCCAGTCTGGCGCTGACCCTCCTGTGCATGGGGTCAGTGTCATCTGCACGAGTACGTCACCCAGCCCAAACGTCCCACCCTGTGGCTGCACAGCTCACAGGGGGCCCATGATGTGTGTTGAGTTAATTTTAATGTGATGGGTGAGATTTGTGTCTAGGTTTATTTTTTGCTTATCTCCATTTTACTCCTTGCTCAGCAACCTGTTGAAAGACCGTCCCTCCTCCAGTTTCTGCTTTATATCTCTGTCAAAAATCGCACACCTCTAATCCCAGCCACCTGGGAGGCTGAGGAAGAAGGATTGCAAGTTTGAGGCCAGCCTCAGCAACAGCAAGGCACTAAGCAACTCAGGGAGACCCTGTCTGTAAATAAAGTACAAGATAGGGCTGGGGACAGGGCTCAGTGGTCAAGTGCCCTGAGGCTCAATCAGTGGTAGAGCGCTTGCCTAG